CATCAAAGATAGGACTTCAAGTGAACATAGATAAAACAGAGGTGATGAAGATTCCTAGCTAACATCAACAGCCACAGAGACAATAACAGACAACAATCAGCCAGCATAAATGGGAGGAACCTGAGAGAAACCGCCTCCTTCACCTACCTACCTACCTGGGAAGCATCGTTTCAACTACAGGCGGAACTGACGAGGATATCAAAGCCAGAATCGGAAAAGCAAGACAAGCTTTCATTACTCTTCAATCTGTGTGGAGGCCAACAGCACTCACCATCAAAAATAAGATCCAGATTTTCAACTCCAATGTGAAGTCAGTGCTACTCACCAAACGGATCAGAGACTTGGCCAGCGCGTCATAAAAAGCAACTCAAACAAACTTCAGACCTTCATTAACAGCTGTCTTCGCTCAATACTCAAGATCAGATGGCCGGCCAGAAAAGATAAGCAACAGGGTGGGATCTCTGGCAATGAGCGAACCAACACATCAGGAACCGATTGTGAAACAAATAGGCAGGAAGAAATGGAGATGGATTGGCCATACGCTGAGGAAACACCATCAAGTGACATCACTAGACAAGCCATTGCTCGAGTGGAACCCGAAAGGGAAGCGGGTGGCGTGTTGGTCGTTAGCGTGAGGGTGACTTGGAGGAGGTCATGAGAGGAGGAGACGAAAGCATGTGGACAGACCTGGAGCGGGGTGAAAAAGTTGTCAGAAAACAGAAGGCAATGGAGGTGCACAGCTGAAGCCCTATGTTCCTCTAGGAACTAAAGGATACAATAATAATAATAATAATATTTTCAGTGTTGATTATTACCCACATTCCCTATTTTAAAACCACTTTTTAGATTTTTTGTAAAAGAAATCTCAAAACAAAGATTATTCCAAGCAGAGCGTTTGTAAATATGAGGAAAATTGCCCAAAATCCATGCTGTAAACTCTCTCAAGGTTCAGCCATGATGATAATAACAAGGAAAAATTTAATCTAGACACAGTGATAAATATCCGTATCATAATTATTAGATAGTGTGTCGACGGCACAGAGGTAGAATGCTCGCCACCCAACATATGCTCCAGTGTTCTAGCTCCAGCCGATGCACTCCTCTACCTCACTAAGCCAGTAATAAGACAGCTAAAGAAGGAAGGGTGGGCATGATGCTAGCAATACCTTCCTCTAAAGATAAACACCACGGCTACCGAAACTTCAAGCCACTACCTTGAAGCCCAATGTTCCATTGAAAACGTAGAGGAATAAAAAAAATTAGTAGATATACATACAATTTTGTTTTTAATAAAAGGACATGAATTTCTTTTGTATAAATCTTGAAATCTCTGCAGTTTAAAAATAAAGGAGTAAATAAAGAAGAAGTTCTCACATTAGGGGAAAAGAGTTTCTGTCTTATATTGGAGGTTACACAATGCATTTAAACAAAAGTGGTGAAGAGTCCCAAAGTTGAATGAAATAGCTGTCCACTGCCCTATGGTTTTCTATGGTTCTACAACTGATGTTGATTTGTGAAATTAATCCCTTAAATCTCACAAAACCACTAAATTAAAACGGAAAGATTTCGATAAAGATTTATCCTATGAAGCATACAAGGATCAAAAAGAGTGGAATGATGCAATATGAACAAAGCAAGAACTGCAGTTTTAGCAGAATAATGTTGTACCATCATTTATTTTGTTGGCTTCTCATCAGCTGCTTACAGCCTAAATAAATTATGAGGTTTAAGTACAGACATGTTTTAACATACTTGCAAATTTTACATGTTGTCAGTTGACATAAAATTCCACAATTAGTAAACAGTGCTCAGAAGATTGCGCTTATATAGTTTTCACACAGGCAGTTCAAGTTAAAACAAATTAAATGTATGCAGAAAATGGTAAAGGAGTTACGTAATAAAGATGAGATGTGCGTTAGATGCATAGTGACTAGTAAGTTAGGTAACAATGTACTGAGTTGAGCTCAAATCATAGAAACAAGAGACAAGCAAAATTACAGATTATAAAAGGGAGGGTGAGGTTAAAGACAAAGATTACGTAATCAGATGAGAGAAAAAAAGGCATCCAGTCACCAAGGCAAGGAAAGACTAACAACTGCTTCTTTCTGAACACATAGATCTGGTTTCGAGCGCTTGATAGAAATCGCTTCAGTAAACTTAAGGAGAATTGAGCTATTTTGCCTATTGATAATTTTGAACGACTTTTCGACGTCCACCTCATGACCCGTGTCGAGGAAATGCCTGGCGATGGCACTGTTTAAAGCATTTGTTCCCTTTAGACGTAAGCTTTTTGGTACATGTTCAGAAAATCGTAGATATGTCCTTCTTTCTATCCTTCCAATGTAACTGCTTCCGCAGATACATGTAAATTTGTATACACAGTTGGAGGTAACATGAGAAGGATGTCTATCGATTTTTGATTGCACCAAAGAGCAAGTTGTTCGATAGACGGGAACGAGCTTAGCTGCAGGATACGCTATGGCTAGTGATGTACTCAGCCTTCTGTTGATCGTCGCTGCAATATTTTCACCCTTATAATCAAGCTGAAGGTAGACTGGCTTTTTTCCACTGTGATTTGTTTTACATTTCTGACTTCAGATCTTCCATACTTGTTGATGAACTTTTGAGGATACCCATTTCTCTTCAATATCTTTTCAAGGAACTCAAACGCTTTCTCTAATGAAAGTGACGGAAAGTTTCACTTCCTCGACATCGCTATGGAACGCCTAGAAGACGGTAGTCTTCAAAAGTCATTTTATCGAAAGCCCACATGGAAAGGACAATACTTGCATTTTAATAGCTTTTGTCCACATAGCTTTAAACGTGGTCTACTCAAGACTCTGTACTATAGAGCGAGGAGAATATGCTCCGTAGAGAAATTAGAGGAGGAGTTTGAGTTCCTTGAAAAGATATTGAAGAGAAATGGGTATCCTCAAAGGTTCATCAACAAGTATGGAAGATCTGAAGTCAGAAATGTAAAACAAATCACAGTGGAAAAAAGCCAGTCTACCTTCAGCTTGATTATAAGGGTGAAAATATTGCAGCGACGATCAACAGAAGGCTGAGTACATCACTAGCCATAGCGTATCCTGCAGCTAAGCTCGTTCCCGTCTATCGAACAACTTGCTCTTTGGTGCAATCAAAAATCGATAGACATCCTTCTCATGTTACCTCCAACTGTGTATACAAATTTACATGTATCTGCGGAAGCAGTTACATTGGAAGGATAGAAAGAAGGACATATCTACGATTTTCTGAACATGTACCAAAAAGCTTACGTCTAAAGGGAACAAATGCTTTAAACAGTGCCATCGCCAGGCATTTCCTCGACACGGGTCATGAGGTGGACGTCGAAAAGTCGTTCAAAATTATCAATAGGCAAAATAGCTCAATTCTCCTTAAGTTTACTGAAGCGATTTCTATCAAGCGCTCGAAACCAGATCTATGTGTTCAGAAAGAAGCAGTTGTTAGTCTTTCCTTGCCTTGGTGACTGGATGCCTTTTTTTCTCTCATCTGATTACGTAATCTTTGTCTTTAACCTCACCCTCCCTTTTATAATCTGTAATTTTGCTTGTCTCTTGTTTCTATGATTTGAGCTCAACTCAGTACATTGTTACCTAACTTACTAGTCACTATGCATCTAACGCACATCTCATCTTTATTACGTAACTCCTTTACCATTTTCTGCATACATTTAATTTGTTTTAACTTGAACTGCCTGTGTGAAAACTATATAAGCGCAATCTTCTGAGCACTGTTTACTAATTGTGGAATTTTATGTCAACTGACAACATGTAAAATTTGCAAGTATGTTAAAACATGTCTGTACTTAAACCTCATAATTTATTTAGGCTGTAAGCAGCTGATGAGAAGCCAACAAAATAAATGATGGTACAACATTATTCTGCTAAAACTGTAGTTCTTGCTTTGTTCAAATTCATTAAGGGGAATAAATATATGAAATGATGCAATAATTTACCATAACAAATGTGAAACTGCAAACTGTGAGAAAGTTAGCTCCGAGGAGTACTGTGAAAGATGGTACTAAAAAAAAATGCTTTTTATTGACCTTCAAACCGAATATATGTAGCAAAACATAGTCCTACAGAGTAGTTTACGCGAATATTGAGGATTACTTCAAAGGATGAATGGGGATAAATATTTTCGTTAGTTCGCGCCAAAACTTCATAAGTACAAGGAATAGCGTTGAAAATTACCCACTCGATTACGACAATTTGGCATAGAAACGGGTCTACCTATATGCCACATAAGATCTAAGTTATCTTTCGTAAGGGTTTTAGTACTCCTGCGCATGAAAACACTAGTTTTAGTTTAACGAAGCATTACGATGTAGTGTGTTGGAACCAGATAAACTTGATTACAGGTACTTCAGATTTAACTCTAAAGTTTGCTAGAAGTTTTTTCGTAATATTTAACGTGGAAGCTCAGATGATTTTTATCTTGCGCTAATATCTTCTGAATTAAAAAAAATCAGTTTTTAAAAAGCTCGGTGAAAGATTTGTCTACATTTCTGACACAGTCGGTAATTAGGATGTCGCATTCATGATTACTTACTAGCTAATTCATAAGGTCATTTTGTTCCATGAAATTACTTCACTCTGAATTTTAGCGTGAAGGTGTTACATAGAAGAATAATGAAAGCCTCTATCTCGGCAAATATAATATTACTAAACATAATTATCAGATTCTGTCCATATTAAATTATATATTAGCGGTACTGACTTTACAATTCTGTAGACTGGAAACTTTTTATCTCTCTGAGTGACTGCAGAATCTCCAGTGTACCTTCTTTGATTTATTTGTAATGACATCCTTGTACAAGGAGATTCACCTTTGAACTCATTACTACGTTTAGTCGCATAGCAAGAAATATTGGCAAATACCATTTTAATCAGCAAACTAGAATTATTCAAACTAGATGCACTCTGTGGATTGTTCAATCAGTTTTCAGTTGTTGTTTTTTCTGCTTTTTCTTCTAGAAACCCATGAACATGTGAACAGCGAAACAGATATGCTTCTAAGTCGTAGGAAACGTTCAGCGGAGCCAAATGATGCACACCTATCGGCAGATAATATTGTTAAAAGGCATAAATTAGTATTTCAACTTGCTGACATACCTTCCAATGAACACTTAATAGCAGCAAGCATACGTATACGATATGAAGCGAAAGTTTATTCAGAAAATTATTCAATCCCAACAGTAAGTAGTTCATTCTGCTCAAACATTACTAACAATGATAAAATGAGGAGCACATCATTTTATTGGCCATTATCCTTATGGTTACATTCTGATCAAAATAATTCCAGTAACATGGATATACAAACTGCAGCTATTTTTGAACCAGATGATTTACAGTGTAAAACACAGTCTACTAAGAATTCTTCGCTGATAAATTTGCCAAATGGATGGTTTCATATACCACTGAATCAACCTGTTTTACATCTGATCGAAAAAATCAACCAACAAACTTATGGTGATAAACAAATTGTAATACAAATTCGCTCAGTAATACAGAAGGGTTCACCAATGTTAGGGGATTTAAATTATATTATCGATAATAACAGTGATGAACAATTGGACTACCTAAGAGTCAACAATGTATATCAGAACAGGCAAAATTCTTTTAGTTCCTCGAAGTGGTTACATAATGCACCACATTTATTCACTTATCATCGTGATCCAAATTTGGCTGAGTATATAAAACGCAAGGCAAGATCGGCTGATTACTCCAATGGTGAACATACGCTACAAACGGATGAATTCAACCATATCAATGTCAAACCTGAGACTCAAAATGTAAGTCTTACAAGGAAACTGTTCTTATTCATTCTATTTGTGATGAATCAGTGACAGTAGGTGATAGATATGTTAATTGTTGGTAACTTAATTCCCCTGAGTACTGATTTACTGCAGTAATTATTCCTTATTTCTCCAATATATATCATTAGTGTATCTAGTTTAATGTGAGTATGAGGCAAAGTTCACAAAACGCCACACCATAGCCCGCATATATCAAACGATTTCATAGGGATTTTTGTATGTGATTCATTCTAACGATCTACAGCTGGGAATCCATTTATTTGGAAATTATGAAGTATTTACGTGACAAAATGACGAATTAACCCGAAATTGAATCATCAATTCCATTTTTGACTAAGATTTTCTTCGAAAATCCAATTTTTGCTTGTTTGAACAGACAGCAACTTCGAAAACCGAGAACATTTTTACTGCAATAATGTACATCCGATTTATCATTTTGAATGATGACCGAGTGTACTTGTACTTCCATTCTGGCTATTTTTCGCTTATGCATTGGCTAAGAAGACTTATTCGTGTGAAGTCTTTCTTAACTGAATTTTCTGCAAAACACTTTCTCAAGTGTTGTTTAAAATTATGAGGTATTAAAGTTACTGACCTAAACGCTTTCATCTCCGATTAAATGTTCTTTAACGAATTCGTTGTTAGGAGATTCCTCTCAGTCACCAAGTCAAAAAACTGCTTTTTCTTGGATTATGCATTCTAATTTGTTTCTAAAGCTAACACTTTACCCCTACGTGTGTCATCTGGCTTTAGCCTCCATATATCTTCAAAAATAATGCACAGGGGAAACATGATAAGCTTAGAGTTTAATATTGCTTTTTAAATCTTATGGTCACTAAACTCCTTAGTAATTCGGTGACATCATAAAATTGGTATTAAACTATCTTTTAGTTCATTCCATTTTCATCTCTTACTGTTCCAATTCATCAAATCCATGTCTCTAATTGAGACTTTCAGTCACTGTTTACACAAAGGTATACTAGTCTGAGTATTTAAAAAGACATTTAATTGCTTAAAGACGAAAACTAAACACAAACAACAACTTATTTTAAACATCCACTTCTTGTATTTCAAAATCATCTCTTGTCTCGATGCTAATTCATTTCGGTTTTAGCCGCTACGTAATATTCTCAGTACCGAAATAGTCAGCTACGCACACATACTCATTGTTTGTTAATAAATAAAGATACTTTCACTGAAACGTGTCAGGCTTTTCTTCACTACTAATTGCTTAGCTACTGTTGTATTTTTTACTTCACTTGGTTGTATTTCGTGAAAAGTAGATGAAATCTCTAACAGGCAGAAATAATCAATACAGGGCACGGTAGTACTAGCAGCAGTCTTAATTACCTCATCTTTTATCTATTCATTTATACAGAAGGTAATAATAATAAGGAGGGTAGAAATGAAATTAATAGTACCAAAATGCATAAAAAAGTTATTGGATGAAAATATTTTATAAAATAGGCAAAGAGAAAATGAATACCTCTTGATAAAATAGACGAGATGTAAATCACACTTAGATGGAAGGATAAGAGAATATTAAATAATAATACAACGGTTGCTGGGAGTTATTTCGGTCAATATTAGTTAGAGAAGCAATAGTAATAGCTGATTAAAATCTTGCTCAGAAATCACCAGTAAATACCAACTTCTTCATATCGTGCTGATGAGTATTTGATTTTTGACCACTGAATGCAGGCTTTAGCTGTTTTACACACACTAGCAGTAAAAAGTAAATTGTGATGTACAAAATCTATATTTATTTTGAGTATCCGGATTATTTATTAGGGATATTTCATCGAAATAGACACAAATTTCATCGAATCTTTTTTTAAATAAACTCGTTAAATAATACAGCCTGTATGCAAAATATGCCAGCATTTTCGACACGTGTTTTACTTTCTTCAGGGTTCTTGGTGTCAGCTTATGCATCAGACTGAGTTTCTAAGGTAAGGCAGGCATAATCTTATTGTATATTTACCATAGTAGTTACAAATAAGATTTCTCGACTGGAATTTTTGTTTTGAAAATCCCATTCCTTTCAGTCTTAGCATTTTTTTCCGAATGCATCTTTCACTGACTTCAGTATTGTAGTGTTTATCGGCGGCTCAGTAGTAGACTGCTCACCAGACGCATGGGAGTTCCAGGCCTGATTCCTGGCCAGTGTGTTCCCATATCTTGTGTAGCCAGCATGATATTTGCAAAGTATGCTATCTACCTTACTCTATTATTAATGTATTTCAGCTAAATTTACCTGAGAATATCCTGATTTCAACTAATTTGAACTAATTGTGCAGATTGCTGATAGACTAATTGACAAACAGATCGAATAAAAGGAATCTCATGTGTATGACTCAATTCTATCTAGAAAACTATCAAACAAGCAGTAAGACTTATTTCTGGTTTAAAATGTGCCTAAAATGTACTCCTTTTGCTTGTAATCGGTTTCCAACAAAAATCCTATAAATATTACATTTGGATAGTTGGAAAACTGCAAAACAGTCAAACTATCTGTGTGAATTGAGCAGTTTGTAAATAATTTTTAAAATATCGACAAACATCCCGTATTTTGTCTACTTTTAAGAAAAGCATCGCGAAATTGTTATTGAATGAATACGGTAACTGTCTGCCTAATTAAACTTATCATCCAACATTTTCAATCGTTATTATTTAAAAAAAAATACCATACATACTAATCACGAGAACTGAAGAGAACTAGTGGTAGTGAAGTTCACCTGAAATTGTTTAATATAGGTTGTTGTTGGTCCATTAAAACAGATGGTTAATAAAAAAATTAATTAGGTTTTTCCTCATGAAAGTGATTTTTAAATTTAAAAAAAAGAATATCTGCTTGTATACAGAACACGTGGTGTTTCATCTTGACAACAGATTGTGTTTCCATTTTTGTGCAGGGATACTATGAATGAACGTTATCCGTCAATCTACGCATTATTAAATTAAATATATTTTATCAACAGTTTCAGACGCATCTGTTCATTATTTTTCAAAAAGTTTTTTGAATTCAATTAGTGTACAAGAGTTTAATTTTAAAGTGCATAGGATAGTGCCTTGCGTGTTATATATGGGCATGATTTTTGAAAAGAATATGGAAATTGGCATTCCTTGATATCGAAATATAGTGGCGAGACCAGTAAATTTAATAACTGAATACATATCCTAATAATAGTCTCCTGTTAGAATAAGCTATAACTGGAATAGGCCGAAAAAGAGGAAAGTACAAAGAGAATCTTTAACTCAAAATACCCACTAATAACCATTGAAGATACTATAATTAGTAACTATCGTGTACAATTGAAGTTGAAAACTTCAGAAAACTGATGAGTCCGAACATGGACAAATATTTATACAACTCAAGACGCAATCATATATATATATATGTATAGTTCTTAAACCGAGTAGCATTTCTATCGAGAAATGTCTGTAAACACAGGTTTAAAACTTCCAAAACATATTTAAGAGGTTTGATGATATTACATAGTTGGAGGCAATCGGCTGGAAGTTCAGTTTGACCTAGGTTTCGTGCTAGTTGGCACTCGTCAGTAAGGCGTATCTGTAACCTTGAGGAAACTCATGTCCCTTCTGAGATTCGAACTCGCATCGCGCAGTTCTGCAGTCAGAGACGTTATCACTGAGCTATTCAGGCTCACAACTGATCTCCCTTTAGACTGTATTGGATACTTTTGATTGGAAAATAGTTGGTAACTATTGTGACGTGTCTAGTTCTTTCTTTGGTGCAGACTGAACTCTACCAGTCAGATTTGCAATATGGCTACCATTCTAGATAGCTCGCCATTACGGTGCGCATTGATTCAGTGACGAGTGCCAACTAACGGAAAACCTAGGTCCGACTGGGCTTCCTGCCGGTTGCGTCCAACTGTCTAGCATCAACAGTTCAAAGTGCACCATCATGGCGACCTACCTAGAATGGTGGCCACATTGCAAACCTGACTGATAGAATTCAGTCTGCACCAAAGATAGGACCAGACACGTCACACTAGTTACTGACTAGTGTCCAATCAAAATTTAAGAGATGGTTTGACACCGACTCAGGATTAGTGTATTTAATGCTTTGTAGTCAGAAATAGTTTGTTGATGGATAAATGTTGCAGATGCTTAAATTTTGATAGAATATCGAATGCTTTTGAAGCTAGCGATACTTCTTTATGAGTTCATTAGTCTATAGATTTCGAGTGATCTCTTCCTTTCTTTCTTTAAGTTGATACTTAAGTGCTTTGTGATACACGGTGATTACTGCTAAAAATGAAAAGTTTGTATAATGACGATCAACTATTTTTCCCTAAAGCATGAATAAATTCTGAAGAATACATCTTATTTAGCCTTATTCTTAATGGAAAATTGGAAAGAATAAAGGGAATTAGTGTTATATTAAATTTGAATTATATATATATATAGATATATAATATTTGAATTTTAACCAACCAACAACAACAACAGCAGCAGCAGCAACATCCAGCGTCAATCACCATCAACGGGAGGGATTTGAAAGAGGTTACTTCATTCATTTACTTATCTAGGGAGCATTGTCTCAACTACAGGCAGTTGGAATGGACGAGGATGTGAAATCGACCGAGAATCGGGAAGGCGAGAAACACATTCATTCATCAACCTGAAACCAATCTGGAAATCTTCGTCACTCAGAATCGACAACAAAATTCCGTCGGATTTTCAATACAAACGCCAAGTCAGTCAGTTCTTCTATACGGATCAGAAACTTGGCGGGTGGGTCACAAAGAATATTTCCAACAGCTTGTTGCAGACGTTACCTTTATCAACAAACAACTGTCTTTGCTGGCTCTATAATGAAGATCAGATGGCTGGGCCGGAAAGAATCACCAACTAGGGGAAACTATGGGAACAAACAGAACAATCGCCAACCAATTGCCAACCAACAAATATGCAGGAGAAAGTGGAGATGGATTGGACACTCGCTGAGGAGGCTGCCTCTGGGTGGCATCGCGCGCGCGTCAGGCCATTGCTCGAGTGGAACCAGGCCGAAAAGGAAGCGGCAAGTGGGACATCAGTGCAGGGGTGACATGGAGGAGATCGTGTGAAGAGGAGTTGAAAGAGTATGGACTTACATGGATGCAGGTGTAAAGTACAGCAGAAGACAGAAGTGGTAAGTGGAGACGTGCAGTTGAAGCCCTATGTCCCACCAGGAACCCAAGGGAGCAATAATATTAATAATAAATTTGAATTTGAAAGTTCCGCAATCAAATTATAGGAGCTTTCTTTAAAATATTTTTAAATTATTTTACTTATCCATTGCTTTTCTTGTCATAACAGTATTCGCAGATCTTTGATTCATTTTTTCACTGAATTTATATTGATGAAAGCTCTCCTGATTACTGTCGAAACCGATTATTATTATATTTTCAATACAATTACTTTGCTAATTGAATAGCTTCTAAACGCTTAACCATTTTACCACAGATTTATTCTTCAAGCACCTGTGCTTTCTTGTTGTTCACTGTAGGCTTTTTTAATCATCGAAGTATTACTTATGATTCCTCCCATTAATTACGTGTAAAGAGGTGATGGTAGTGTGACAGAATACATTGAACTGTGAAACAAAAATAGTATATTATAAAGTATATCCCTTTCGGTCAGGGAGAATTTCTTTATTCATACTGAAAAGACATAAACGTTGATGATGATAAACGGATGATGACAGTAAGACTAACGTTGAAAAGGATGCTGACAAAGTTAATATCTAGAGAAATAACCAACAAGTCAGTATGACTTCATTCACCATCTCCATATTGTTTAAATTCATATGGCTGTGTGTCAAGAATGTGAAGTGATAACGCCAAAGAAATGAAAGAGACTCGTGTATGCATAAAACAAAAAATAACTAAGCACTGTCTCAAAAAGTTTAAGTCTCATTATTATGCTTTTAACGACTGCACATATTTAATAAATTAAGCAGTATATATCTGGTTTTATTAATACGGTTTTGGTGCGTTAACTAAACTATTTATGAAACTAAAGAAATAATTAAGGCACACTGAAGGGGAGCGTCTCCACTGTCTAATGTCTGACTTGTTCCAGTGTTCTGTTGTCATTAAAACCACTTAGTATTTTAATTGTGCGTCGGTGGCACAGCGGTTAGGACGCTGGCCGACCATGCACATGGTCTGGGGTTCGATTCCCGGCCGATGCACTCCTTTACCTCACTAAGCCAGTAATAAAAAAGCTAATAAGGAGGAACGGTTGGTCATGAGGCAAGCAACCCTATCCTGTAAAAATAAACACTGCTACAGAAATTTCAAGCCACTATCCTGAAGCCCAATGTTCCGCTGGGAACGTGAAGGAATAAAAAAAAGAAAAATCTACTTCTCACCTATTATATTTGGTGGTCTCCATCGAAACATACATGAATTTCTAAAAGCAGTCACACGAACAGAACCATTTTGCTCATATCAAAAGATGAATTTTTCGCATAAACATATAAATTAATATGCTAAATTGAATAAGTACCTTATATCATTGTGAGACCATAATAATAAGTTTTACTTGTTGTAAGCTGTCGAATTCTACCGTTTGAACCAATTACTCATCTTTAGCTACAACCACTTATAGCTAATTATTACCTCAGTTGTACAGAATATTTTGACAGACATAAGAAATTAGAAAACACCTACAGTATGTGGTACGAATGAATTGCATCAAATGTAAAAATTTCTAATTTTGTAAGAGATTTATTTCAATGGTAGTAATGGAGAAAATACTTGAGTATCAATAAGCTTTTTGTTTTGTGTGATAATAAGTGGTGTGTAAATTATGTTTTATGGATTTCTCTACTGAAGAACATATTTTTCGCATCTTCAAAACAGAGGAAATCAGTGAGTATTTATGTTCACAAAAATAGTTCCAAGTAAGTTTTAAATAACTATACGATTTGACATTTTCTACAAGATTATATTCAATGAACAGACTGCGATAGATGAAACGTATGTGGACCAGTACACAGTGCAATAACTAATCCGAAATAAGTTTGTGGTGTGATAAAGGTGCATTTTTTGAAAAAATTATGAACGTTTAGCTTTATTTTCTCTCTAGCCATCGTCAAGTACAGTGAAGCGAATCCAATTCATCCTAACAGATTCATAGTACTATATTTCACCAACGAATGGATGAAAATCTAATGTTTGATAAGTAATAATAATAAGAGGACTAATATAATAATTTATTACTAATCGGCATATTAAGAGTGTTCAATTTTTTATCATAGGTAAACAACAAGAAAATTGCTAGACGTTATAAACGCTTGCAACGATTGCTCAATACACGTTTGAGTCAACAAAAGAGTGATAAAGGAACTGGAAAAAGTGGACAACACGATGAAAAAACGTATGCTAAAACAAGATCACGAAGACGAGCACAATATCGACAACATCATAATCGCCCACGTCAAGATCATTACTACTATACTGACATTGATTCAGTCAATGAACATGAAGACATTTCTTCAAATCTACAAATGACATCTAATTCATATGAAGATAACAGAAAAACTGACCGTTATAAACAGAAACATTACCAATATGATACTGGAAGATCCTATCATTCAAATATACTGCAAACCAGTAATCACCATTACCTTGACACAACATGTCAAAGGCGTGAATTAATTATTAATTTTGATGCTGTCGGTTGGGCTGGATGGGTAATTGCACCACAAGCATATAATGCACGTTACTGCTTGGGTCAGTGTCCATTTCCACTATCAACACATTACAATACAACAAATCACGCTGTCTTGTTACAATTAGTTCATTTACTAGATGTGGCGAGAATTCCCGGTCCATGTTGTGTACCACACCAACTTTCATCACAGTCATTATTATATCATAGTCAGAATGGTGATGTTGTCTTAAGAGTGTATGAAGATATGGTTGTAGAAAGTTGTGCTTGTCGCTAGAAATACAAAATGATATACTGTATAACCAAACTGATTGCAATGTATACTTTCAATGTGAACACGTATGTACACAAATCTTTAGTCGTAAACCCATGAAAAATCTCAACTACCGTTATTAACATTAATACTGTTATCTAAATGTTTTCAGTAGTAGTTATAACAGCGATATAACTATTATTTTGATTATTAAACACAAATGCACCAATAACTGTTTATAAATCTACCTGACGTTTAACAACTTCATCAAAAATTTAAACATATATGAATCATTACTTTTCATTCATGTAAGTATACTTCAACACTTTACTTTGTTATTTTAAGCAGCAAAAACTTTCACTTTTTCATGTGTTTTATTTTTATTCTTCAAATTAAAGGATATATATATATGTAAGTTCTTCAAAAGAAATACCTTTCATGGTCTCTTATATAAAATGCTGTGAGTTAATGATTGCTTAACATTTTTAAATTTGCCTTATGAAGTATTCATTGTTGCTACAATTTAGAATCCAACAAAACAAATTTGTTGTACTAACAATAAAAACGAAATAAAAAACAGCATAAACTGTATCTGAGTGCATTATTTAATGTAACATGTTAGGATATAACATCTATTATTTCATTATGACCGGGAACATCATTTGACAAATATATACATATATATATATATGATTTTGTAAAATACATAATTGTACGTGCTGAAAAGACTTCTCCTTTTTATTCAGAGTTAAAGTGGTCATAAAAAAACACACTGAAATTCTAGAATAAATTCAGATACTCCATGCCGAATAAGAAAATCGCTTTGTTCTTTGAGAAACATCATACTTGTTGACATAAGCTGGTTGGAGGCAATAGGCAGGAAGCCAAGTCTGACCTAGGTTTCGTGCTAGTTGGTACTTGTCAGAAAGGCGTACTTCAACCTTGAAGGAACTCATATCCCCTCTGATACCGATTGCCTCCAGCCATCAAATATCCATCATGGTGAGCTACCTAGAATGGTGGCCACATTGCAAACCTGACTGATAGAATTCAGTCTACACCAAACAAAGGACTAGACACATCACAGCAGTTACTGACTAGCGTCCAATCAAAAACATCATACTAGTTAATTTTTCAGATATGTTCTATCGCTGAAGTCCGCAATCTGAAGTAAGACAGGATTTTCATCGTCGCCCTTGGTGTCTTGCTTCAAATTATATTTAATAGCAGTTTCATATCACTCAATTTCGGTGGATACAGTGTAAACGAGAGAGATTAAATATCTGAACATAGTACGTTAAGTATAGAAGCTTGCAGACATGGTGTGAATTAAAAATACATAGGTATGTAAAGAATATTCTTTTCGTGTCTTCATTTCGAAGCTGTGCAATTATACAGATTTCTAAGAAATCAAGGAATTGCCTTTCAGGTCAGTTGTTCATATCACTTGGTAACAAAACATATGAAGTTAGATATCAAGAATAAGAATAAATTACGTAATCCAAAAATAGTAAGGGGTGAGGATCACTCAAAAATGACTGCTGTCGAAAACTATAACTGCATGGAAGCAGGGAAACTGTTCATAATAGTAACAGATTCAGCATATTTATAAAGTTAGTAATTTGAGAAGAAAGAACATGGTGGAAAAAAGTAGAATGAATGTGGACTACGTAACTAAGTTATTAGAAAAGTTACAAAAAAGCAAAGTTTAAGACCACAGTACTGAAAGGAACTGGAAAAACTGATTTTGTGTACACGCTTCAGGGTTTTCCTTGTGTATAGCAAGATCAGTTGTTGTAGACAGAGGATGTAGACCGACCTTACCATACCTTATATATCATTTTGAAAGATTCTTGCATTAATGCGCAATGATTTGTAAGAACGAGACAATGAAGAATTGAACTATTGTTTCTTCCCTTTTGAACAACCATACTGACAGAAGTTTTTCTGAGCGTCTATTAGTTTACTGGTGTGGCCTATGGACTTAGCTCCACAGCAGCAATTGAAGTGACATATGCACGTGAATTGTGCTAACACTGAAACATTGTCTATAAAGTTCCGATGGATAAGAGGTTGTGTGGAGGTGAGACGTAAAGATGTGGTGAAGAATGCTTTTCAAGCTGCTTTCGATAATCTACTTCAAATAAATTTGGCTGTTGTGTAACCTTTGTATTTCAGAAATCAAAATCACTAACTTTTGATAGTTCTGCCTTTTGTGGACTATCCATCTTATTAATCATATGCTTATTAGTGAATTCTGTTAAATAACCTTTCTGAATTAGAGTGTCACGGAAAGACCCCAGCTCTCATTTTAGTGTGTCTTCCATGGTTGTGTGACTGGTTCTTGTGTGAAGAGATTTGATGAAGTTTCTTTTTCTACTTATTGGAAAAAAGTTGTCGAAGTCAGTTGGCTGTCTGTTCTATTTTGATTTTGAGTGAAGTGATCCCTAGATTGATTTATTATTTCTCCTCGACATTTGAACATTTAGCAAGGGAAAGGGGATAAATTATAGGAATAAAAACTAACGATTATATACATATATATACAATTTGTGAATTTCTTGAACTCCATTATGTTCATAAAGAAATGGAATCTTTGCAAAAATAGTTATAGTGACTGCAATGAGTTTTGGCTTTATGCATTCCTGCATTTCAATCTTAGGATTTTCACTGACACAAATGTTCGAGAAAAAGTGTGCAGAGTGAACTAACTGTTTCAGACACAGATATTATTAGTCTGGGTAGATTTTTCGTAAATATGAAGTGTCATTGCAACTTTGTAATTTATTTAAACTCTTAAAAATAAACTGTAGTTGTCATCTCTGCTGTTCTAAATACATTTTATAAGGCATTAAGTACATACCACTTCAAGTAGTAAATATTAAAAAGCCTCTTTAGTGCATATATAAGTTTAATGATGTAAAATGTAGTTTCTAATCCATCAAACTCTTCACATATTTGGGAGGTTATTTAGTCCCAGAAAACAGATCGGTCGCAAAATCTTGGCACACAGATACAAAAAACCAGCTTGATGATATTGGTATCTCCCGTTATCTATACTGGTACAAAAATACGTCTCTATGCATAGACAGTTAAGATTCTCAGTTTGATTAGGATTACCAATAAGAAACTCTTGGTAAAACGACTGTAAGCGTAGATTAAGTTAGAGAACCGGAAGTCGGCAATTGTTTTCTGTTATGATGTGATGTTTATGAAAACATTTCCAACAGTGCAGTTGACTAACAGCTTTCTTGTGAAATCCTAGCAATGTTTCATTACTACTAGCCAATTAACATTTACCTGGAAATATGAAAGACAGAAAGGAGTGAATAAGATTCACAGTTGCAAAGTGATCACCTATGCTATAATGATAACTAACTCCAGAAAATTTTCACATGGTAACATAATAGTGGTAAACTACCAGAAATTCGAGAATCTGTTTATTTTCCGTGAATATGTTTTGTTAACTAATTTGTATTTATTTTACCTATTTTTATCTCCAAATGAAAAAAAAATACCAAGCAGTGAATTTCTGATAAAAAATGTCTGGTAACGGAGAAAGAGAGTGATAGACAGACAGACTAAATTTAGTCAACCACTTACTTATACACGAATTCTCGCACCCTAATTTTTATAAAACACCATTAAGTAGGAACACACGCATTCATTTAGAATAACATTACAGACAATAAAAAATGATTATTCAAGAGAAAGAATTAGAGAACAGCTTTAAAGTAAGTACAATTAAAAATTGCGGTATCTGTATTATAAACACCATTTGTGTATCTTAGTTGAAAATTTTTCACAGACATTTACCCCAACCTACAAATTTATATATATATATATATATATATATATAAATGCATAAGCCATTACATCTATGTAATAAAATGCAAAACATTCGTAAAATTAAACTGTCCTGATTACCAAGATACTTCTGTTGGAAGTTATCATAGTATCTGATATTATATATATATATATATATATATATATATATATATATATATATATATATATATATATATATATATATATATATGCATATAGCTGGACAAGTGAATCTAACGCCTAATCAAAAGAATCAAATGTACATATCTTTTGTGCTTTCTATTTAAAAGAACTGTGGATGGGAACACAAAATTATGATTCATTAGCCTTGGTAGTTCACTTTCAGCCATTGGGTTACAAGTCCAAGCACAAGTCTATTTACACAAGTCATCACAGCCGCTTATTTATGTCATATGTTACACAATATATCTGACTGAAAATCCAATTATTAAATGTACACTTGAATATCGACCTCTGTAGGTAAAAGACTGAATGCATTTAAAAAAATAATAAAACTATTTGCTTGAGTCAAGTGGTGTATTGACTGGTATTCTGTTTTGTTTCAGGAGTTCGCTATATTTATTTTTCACGTGTATAATAAAACGACTGTCAATAAACATTCTGTGCGGAGGTCAACAGCACACCATCAAAAATAAGATCCAGATTTTCAACTCCAATGTGAAGTCAGTGCTACTTATCATACGGATCAGAGACTTGGCCAGTGCGTCATAAAAAGCATCTCAAACAAACTTCAGACCTTCATTAACAGCTGTCTTCGCTCAATACTCAAGATCAGATGGCCGGCCAGAAAAGATAAGCAACAGGGTGGGATCTCTGGCAATGAGCGAACCAACACAGCAGGAACCGATTGTGAAACAAATAGGCAGGAAGAAATGGAGATGGATTGGCCATACGCTGAGGAAACACCATCAAGTGACATCACTAGACAAGCCATTGCTCGAGTGGAACCCGAAAGGGAAGCGGGTGGCGTGTTGGTCGTTAGCGTGAGGGTGACTTGGAGGAGGTCATGAGAGGAGGAGACGAAAGCATGTGGGCAGACTTGGAGCGGAGTGAAAAAGCTGGCAGAAAACCGAATCAAATTTGAAATGTCAAGAATGCGCAGTTTCAGGTGAAATTTCACTGCGGTTTCCTTCAGAAGCTGAAATTATTTAGTCCACAATATATGACCTGCCTGATACCATATTTCGCAATCCAAAGAGCCTGCATCAATGCATGATGACATGTACTACTGACTTGTTGAGACAAGTAACTGCATATCACTTACAGTAACCGGTAGTGCTTGCTAGACACCTCAGCGTGTTTTAAACACCGGACAGCATGTTTTGGATCCAGCGTGTCACCAGTGTATCCAGGTCAACTCAGCTCAAAGAACCGAATCTGATCGGACCAACCGAGTTGTGGGTAGCTACTTGGGTGCATTGGTAAGACACTGAATCGAATTCGCAGTTGGCGAATTAATTCTCTATTTGCAATTTACACAGTTTCTTTTTGAAACTAAAATGGTCTAGATCATAGTGTTTAGTTTGCTTCACAGCATTTGTGGCAATCAAGCGATTTCAACTAGAACTTTGTCAATTGCGGGTTGCAAATCTATTTCCGTATTTTACTACTTTGCCCAGGTAGTTACCGAGAATTCAGGCTATTTGAACTGATTCGTTTCTTTGAGCTGAGTTAAACCGTGAGCACTACTGATGAGATCAGCCCTGAACATGCGAAATGACGGTCCAGTGATCAAATAACTTTAACGTGACTGGGAAGAAGTACCAGCTGATGTGTGTGATATGCGACTAGTTATTCATCTCAACCAATCAGTAGTATGTACAATTGTGAAAATATTTTAAA